TAAATGTTTAGGTAAATGGTACCCTCGCTTCAGGTTCAAACTTTCAGAGTGGAATGGCATTCAAGATTCTAGCAGCAAAAAGGGGGTTGATGCAGTTTAATTACTTGCTCAGGTAAATAGTGCACTTGTGGAGCTAACAGTTCTTGGTCCTAGTTATCTGATGTCACAGACATTGCTATTTGCTGCTGTTGCTCAAGATGGCATGCAAAAGGGCTTGCAGTTTAAAGATATGTGCTTGGTCATTCGTGGCGCTCACAGCTACCAAAAATTGAACAGTTTAACGACGTGCTAAGGTCGTATGCATGATTAGCATAAAAAGATAGTCGACTTATAGTCGTGTACCACTCCAGGTACCAGTTTATCCAGGTCTTCAGTCATGACTTCGTGACTTGCATGCTACGGCGGATTGGGTAGGTTTTTACATAATCTATGACAGATTCCTGGTTACCCAAGGAATCGAACCTGCACACACGATACTGTTGTGAGACGATCGGATCCTGATGTATCAGATTGCCATGGCTTAACCCCTAAGCCACTTGAGCGGGTGAGATACCTAGTTCGAACCTGACCAGTATATGCTCTTAATTACATAATTTATGCTGATATAATTATGGGTGGCGTCAAGGTGGCGTGGTGTGCCTAGTCACGTGTCTGAGTATTTATGACGTCTTTTGATTGATTGATCGATCATGATCATAAAGAATCTGTGATTGAGTTTTGAGATAGACTTTTCTGATCGATCGTGATCGTCGAATGACGTCATGTTTTGACGCTCATAGCTGCCTAGTGGTACAGTTTAGTTAACTTGCCCAGGTCCATGGTGGCACTCAAAGCTGCCTAGTATCAGGGTGCCCTTGGTCAAGGAGTCTAATTGCCTGCCCAATAAGGATGCTGCCTGTGTGATCACAAGGGCTTATGCAAAATGATGTCTTGTACCCAGGAGATTGCCTATGTCTGCTAGGATTTTGCATAAGATAGCTGCCATGTTTGCATTGTTGTATGCAAGTAGATGTGTTCCCCAACGCTGTTCATACTTGTTGGCAATGGTCTCTCAATTGCCCTTTAGGTTGGCATGCTATATAGGCAAAAAGTTGAAAATTGAAGGGTTTCAAAATGTGATCCTTTGGCGCTGCTTAGATCATCCTTGACTTGCTTGTGCTCGTCTTTGGATATGTGATTCTAATTGCTTTGCGGATCCTTCTCGACTCTTCGAATAGGATATGCGCTCGGTACTTCGCAATATATATCTTTGAGTGCTGCATTTCCTATGTGCACGTCTTCAGATAATGCTCGTACATACTCGCTATCTCCTACATTACCTCTCCCTTGCCAGGTCCTCTCTGAGACTGATGCGGCAGGAGCGAGATAAAAAATAAACAAGACTGTGGTAGTACAAAAGATAAGGGAGGGTGGGTGGGAAAGAAAAAGCCTTATAACTTTGGGGAAAAGATGATTTAGGCATCCCATAGCGAATAATTTCTACTTTGTTTGCACAATATGTAGTAAATCTGAGACCGCTTCTAGGTGTAAAAGGTTCCCAATATCCCATTGTGTGTGCTAAAAATAACTCCCTAAATGTTCGACTGTTCTATTGTGAACTGCTAACTAAAGATCTATTTTCGCCAGCAGTTTATGACCGAAGGCCATCGTGCTCTTGGAGATCTTATATATGTATTCAATCGGTGACTGATACATGGTAGCATTGTTCAAGATGTCTATAGATTTTTTTGTTATATATTTATAGGTGACCAAGCCTATACAAATAATATATAACTAATGTAATGGTAATGGTAATGGTAATGGTAATAGTTTAATGTCATTTCGGACGCTGGAGGCAGCCTGCTAGTGAGCTAGGCTGCCATATGTGTTGCCCAGTGTGAAATAAGTGGGGTGGAGGAGGCTGTACAAGTATTCAAGATTCAAATTTTGACGATAGATTCCTGCTCCCAAGTTTTGAGGGAGGCTGACGGTGATAGATGTCGATGAATTGCAATATGGCAAAAAAGGTGTGCCCCACACCTGAATATCTTTGGGCTGAAAATAGTGCAAGCGAATAACTCGTAGTATTTTTCGCCTGACTCAAAAATAACAGTTTAAAGTCATGCTTAGGACCTAAAAGTCACACAGCCAGCAGGGAGCTGGGGGTGTGCATGGAGATTCATTCAAATGTCACGGTGCATTAGATCCTGTATCCTAAGGCAAGAAAATGACAGCAAGGTGCTTGCCAGCGTCCAGTGATCTGCACAAAAAGGGATTTGCCCAGGAAGGGTCAAATCAGGCATGCAGTGACATGCAGCCTGAAAAAGGTGCTCAAAGGGCCCTTAGCCTTATGCTCATAACAAGGGGGTGAATTGGCTGTTAGGCCGCATGAAATAGGTGAATGAATCTAAGGTCCTCTCTTAGATCCTCATGGACTTATATACATATAGGGCTGGACCCTGATCACTCTAACTAAGGTGTACCTGCCGGTGTCCTAGCAAGCTACATGTGGAAAAACTATGCCAGAACCAGTAAGGGTCTAGCAGCAACTATAGCAACTATCTACAAAGGCCGTGGATATGCCGAGGTAATCCTACCTAATCCAATGAGATAAATGCCTGTAGGTGGTGCCACTATTTGAGCAGCAAAGTGGTGCCACTATTTGAGCGGCGACATGGGGCCACTATGGAGTAGCCAATAGGGTTGGTGTCACTTATCTGAGTGACAAGGTGGTGCCGCTATTTGAGTGGCGAATTGGATGCTTGCTAGCTTGATGCTCCAATGAGCTTGAGGGAGCCTTTCTGGACAAGTGGCCTGGTGTCACGTGACCAACACCTGACAACTTCTGAATAGGGCAAGTGGCCAGTGTCACGTGACTGAGTGGCTGAATTCTGGGCGCTTGGTGGTCATGTGGTAGACACAGTCGTATTCGCGATGTATGTGGCGGTATCATGCTGTTTGTCTAAGTATCCACTTTGTGAGACCGATATGAAGGTTGACGCTCGATGGTTGCTAAATGAGGACTTTATTGGTGCAAAAAGAAAGGTGCCACATAATACTGTGACAGCTTGCTAGCTTGATGTGTCCAATGAGCTTGAGGAAGCCTATTGTGGGCCAAAGGGTTCCTTTCCGAGCAAGTGACCTGGTGTCACATGACCAACACCTGACAACTTCCAAATAGGGCAAGTGGCCAGTGTCATGTGACTGGGTGGCTGAATCATGGGTGCTTGGTGGTTATGTGGTAGATACGGTCGTATCCGCAATGTATGTGGTGATATTGTGCTGTTTGTTTAAGTATCCACTTTGTGAGACCAATATGAAGGTTGGTGTCTGAATAATCACTTGTGGTTTGCCAAATAATGGTGCAAAAAGAAAGGTGCCACCTAATACTGTGACAGCTGCTATGCAAGTGCATTGAGAAAATATATTATTCGATCAAACCCTAATTTCATTCTCATAGTCCAGAGATAAATGTTACTTAATGGAGTAGCCTGACAGCCACATCCCATTGTTTGCAGGTGTTTTCTGCCAGCCGTCGTAGGGAGTTGGAGGGGAAATAAGATTGTGGAGTTTAAAATAGATGTTGCCATCATGATCAAGCACGTGATGTGATCGGATGTGGCACAGTCTCAGATGTGGCACAAAGTTCCCTCCCCTAGGATGGGCCCCCCACCTCCCGGAGGTGGATGGGAAGGAGCCTGGCTCAACTCCTGCGTTGTCCTTAGCTTCAATCTCCATCCATTATACAGTACTCGACTGGTTTAACCTCCACCACCACATCACAACCCTAATTACTCTGCCTCGCGCCGACTCTAAGGGCTGCACAACCCACGACAGCACAAAAAGACCAGCCCACGAGCGTGCAACGACTATCAACGCCCGCAACCACGACGAGACACCATGCATCCGACCTGGTTACTTTTCTTTGAACGCAAGTAGCAAGATCCTATGAAATAAGCTACATCGAGTCTGTCGTCTACGAAGCTACCGATGCCAATTCCAAAATACCAGAAGCAATATCGTAAGGTGACAGTGAATATACTACAATAATGTAAGCGTGTTCGTGTGCTCGTATGCATGTATGCGCGGGATTCATCCATAACAAATACAGCGGAACCAAAACCCAGCTTGACTCGACTGCGTGGACATTGACGAGAGCGAGCGGGGGCAAGAGGTGTGTACCGAGGGGCACCCTACACCGCATCCATTCCCGTATTACGGACGTCTCTTACCACATACCGTCCGTCTCTAACCTCCCGACCATCCCTCGCCTGAGTCGTCTCCCTCATCTGCGCCATCTCCGCAGCCCCCATCAACCCACCGACAGCCACCCCCTCCGCAACCTCTCTGACTCCCCTCCCCCGCGCCATCTGCCCCATTCCCACTTCGGCCGCTTCGACCAGCCCTTCAACCGCAATCTCGCCTACCCCTCCCCTCCGGTCAGTCTGTCTCCGCGAGAGCTGCGCCATCCCTGCCTCCGCCGCGCCGACGAACCCGCCCACCGCGAGCTCGCCATACCCACCCCGCATGTTCTGCTCCCTCAGCGTCTGGGCCATCTCCGCCGCACCCACCAGCCCACCCACTGCCATCTCAGTCATGGCTCCTCCCACCCCTCTCGTATCCGGCACGGTCATCATTTCTTGCCCTCTCACTTGAGCTCCGGGCCTCATCGCCATCTCTTGCCTTGCCATGCCTGTGTTAACGCCTTGTCTTCCTGCTGCCATTGTCATGCCTTGGCCGCCCATTGGCACTTGCTCCGCCCCGCCGAGTGTGGTCGTGTTCCGTGTAGTCATCGCCACGCCTCGCTCTCCTACGAGCGCCCGTCCTGCGTCCACGACCATGTTTTGAGCACCCAAAGGCATTGCTTGCGTCCCGATATTTCCCATTCCCGTCCCCATAGCCACGCCCTGCCCGCCCATGCCCATGCCCATGCCCATGGACACCCCCGTTCCGCCCATCCCTCCACTGATCCCTCCCAAATCCCCGACACCTCCACCAAAACTCATCCTCCCCATCCCTGGCGGCGCCGCGCCAACCATGCCCCTTGGGCCCACGCTCGTGCCGTCCACGTTCGTGCCATCGCTCAAGATCTCCTCGAGCCGCATGCGGTACCGGCGCACCTCGTGTTCAAAGTCCGTCCCTGTGTGGTACCCCCAGTCGAGCAGGAATGCCTCGCAGTCGCGGATGAAGTGTTGCAGATCGTGCGCGCGCACGATGCTGCGCTCAGGCTGACCGGACCCACGGGCGCGCGCAAGATAGGAGGCGGCGAGTGTAGAAAGACCGCCAAGGATGGAGGTTGCTATGGAGGTCTGTGTGGTGCGGAAAGAGATACGAGGAATGGATGAGACGAAGCAAGAGACAAGGCAGAAAACAAACACACGTGTTTACCCGTCGTGGCAGCCGCGACGCCCGTCGTAAGCGCACCAAGAATGACTTGCGCCCCAATACACGCATTCAACGCGTACCCGCTCATCTTCGCTGGGTATATGCGCTCCCATGAGTCACATGCATATCGCGCCTCAAACAAGCACGACCCGCGCACCTTTCGCTTGTGCCCTCGCGAGCTCTGCCCTCGCGTGCGTAAGCGTCGGGCCGAGCCTCGTTTCGATGTTCCTTTCCTTCGCCTCCCCATGGGCATAACCCGTCAGTCTCCGGAAGGCGCTCCGTCCATATGGATGAGGCTCACCGAATACGCAGACATCGTTCCGCCCTTGTCTGGGTCCGGACTTGATGGGTTGCCGGGCTGAACTGGCACGACGTAGTCAAGCACGGGCATTGCGGGCGTCGACATGTAACTATCGCGCGCCGCGTCTCCGGATCCGTGGAGCGGCATCGGTGGGCGTGGTTGCTGCTCCATCGGCAGTGCGAGCCCGCTGCGGCTGCCGTCCCAGCTGAGTCCGCGGACGCCATGCGCCGACTGAGACATCGGTTGGTTGCCCAGACCTCCTGGTAGGTGGGCGTTCTCCATGGTGGATGAGCGCGTGTGGTATCCGGCGCTGCTGAGGGGGCGGCGCTCGGGGCGTGGGCGGGCAGGCGCAGGTGCGGGTGCGAGCTGGACGTTGCGCTGGGCCGGGGAACGTTCAGAGCGAGGAGAAAGGGTGGCGTAGCGGGATGGGCCGGCGATCTTCTCTGGAGAGAGCGGCGCGAAGATGGGTGTGGGCGCTGCGAGCAGGGGCTGTTGCCGAGGGGAGGGCATGGGGGAACCTGAGGAGACTTGGCTCAGAGAGGGTTGCGGTGCGGCTGCAGGCATCCAGTTGCGGCGGGAGCTGGTGGGGGCGGAGTCTGCGGAGGATGATTGCGAATTGCTAGACTGGATGGGCTCGGGTTGCGGCGAGCGACGTTCGCGCTCGGGCGTACGGGGACGTGGCTGCGACTCTGGTGG